AGCGAGTGAGTGAAGGAGTGAGTGAGGTGAATCAGTGAATGAGTGAGTCAGTGAATGAGTGAGTGAGGAAGTGAGTGAGTGAAGGAGTGAGCGAGTGAATCAGTGAAGGAGTGAGTGAATCAGTAAATGAGTGAGTGAATTAGTGAGTGAATCAATGAATGAGCGAGTGAGCGACTGAGTCAGTGAGTGAATGAATGAGTGAAAGAGTGAGGGAGTGAATGAGTGAAGGGGTGAGTCAGTGAGTCAGTGAGTGAGCGAGTGATTCAGTGAGTGAGTGAATCAGTGAATGAGTGAGTCAGTGAATGAGTGAGTGAGGAAGTGAGTGAGTGAAGGAGTGAGCGAGTGAATCAGTGAAGGAGTGAGTGAATCAGTAAATGAGTGAGTGAATTAGTGAGTGAATCAATGAATGAGCGAGTGAGCGACTGAGTCAGTGAGTGAATGAATGAGTGAAAGAGTGAGGGAGTGAATGAGTGAAGGGGTGAGTCAGTGAGTCAGTGAGTGGAGCGAAGTGATTCAGTGAGTGGAGTGAATCAGTGAATGAGTGAGTCAGTGAATGAGTGAGTGAGGAAGTGAGTGAGTGAAGGAGTGAACGAATGAATCAGTGAAGGAGTGAATGAATCAGTAAATGAGTGAGTGAATTAGTGAGTGAATCAATGAACTGGGCCGAGTGAGCCCCGCGTCAGTGAGTCAGCGGCGAATGAATGAGCCTCCCCGCCCCGCCCCGGAAGTCAGAGGTGAGGGAGTGAAGGAGCTGAGGGGTGAGTCAGGCTGTAGTCAGACCGGAGTGCTCCGCGAGTGACTGTCAGACGGGGAGTGGAGTGAACTCCAGTGAATGGAGTGAGTGAATGAGCGCGCAGTGAGCCGAAGGGGATTGAGTCCGCGCGGACCGGAGCGGAGTCGAGTGAGTGAATCCAGTGAATGAGTGGCGTGGCGCAAGGGACGGATACTGAGCGGCTGAGTGGGTGGAATGAATGCATGCGCGGATGAGTGAGTGAACGAGTGACTGGGGAAGTGAGGGGACGGACCGGAGGCGCCTCCGCGGCCGGAACTGACCGAGCGAATGAAGGGACGAATGGAAATAGAATCAGTGGGGAGTAGCGGGGAAGGAGCGCGCCTGAGCGAACGGATGAGGGTGGACGGAAGCGAACGAGTGGCGGAGGCGGGTATTGAGTGTGTGGACGAATGAGTGAGTGAGTGAGTGGAGTGAATGAATGAATGACGGGACGCGAGTGAAGGAGTGAGGGTGAACGAGTGGGACGGAGTGAATGCGTGAAGGAAGTGAAGTAGTGAATGAGTGAGTGAATGAATGAGTGACCGATGATTGGCAGCCCTGGGCCCCGAGGCCCGCGCCCCGGCGCTTCTGTGACGTCACCGCCCGGCCCCGCGCCCCGCTGTGCGCGGCCTCGCTGTTTCCGCGCTGTTCTCCGCACCCGGAAGTCCCGCCCAGGCTGCTTCGCCGCGGCTGTTCTCCGCACCCAGAAGTCCTGCCCACCGCTGTTTCCGCGCTGTTCTCCGCACCCGGAAGTCCCGCCCTCCGCGATGACTGACAGACGGGGATTCTGCTCGGCGTCGCAGCCCTCGCCGTCCGCGTTCGCTGTTTCCGGGCTGTTCGCTGTGACCCGGAAGTCCCGTCCCCGCCGCCGCGGTTCCCGTCCGGAGCCGAAGGCGGATTCGGCCAATTCCCCGCGCGGACCGGAAGCGGAAGTCGGTGTGCGGCGTTCACTCCACGTAGGAACGCGAGTTCGGCATGGATTCCCGGGGACGGTGTTTTGTGCCGGACCGGAAGCTCATGTCCGTCACCGGAAGCCCTGCTCAATATAGCTGCGCGGAACTGAAAGCCTGTGTTCCGCGTGTTCTCTGGGGAAAGGTTTCGGGGACGGACCGGAAGCGCTCCTCCGCGGCCGGAAGTCCTGAGGTCGCCGCCGCTAGCGCACGCCGTTCACGGGACGGGATCGGAACCTCCTTTATTAAAATCAGTTTTCGGGGAGAGCGGTGGGGACGGACCGCTCCTGGCGCCCGAGGGAAAACAGACAGGGACGGACCGGAAGCCAGAAACAGTGAGCGGAAGTCGGGAATCGTGCGTTTCCGTCCGCAGAGCGGAACGGAAGAAGCGATCTTTATGTGTTGTTCCAGCTTTCGGGGACACAGTTGGGGACGGACCGGAAGTGGGAATCTCCACTTTCTCCGCCGCCGACGCCGCGCGTGCACCGGAAGCTTCATTCCCGGTCCCGGCGTCTGCGGACACAGTGGCGGACGGGACCGGAATCGCCGTGCACGGAAAAGCGGAAGTGGCCTACCGGAACTCCCAACCATAAACATCCCCGGGAAGCCCGGAACCTCTCGACCCCGGAGCCGAGGGTCCCGATTTCGCGCCGGGACCGGAAGTCGCGGTTCAGAATCTTCATTTCCTGAGAGAATCGACCGCGTCCGGGACGCGGGGCGGAGGCGGAAGCCGCGGGTCCCGATTTGGCTCCCCGCGCGCGCCTGCACCGGAAGTCGCGGCCGCCGCGTTCCGGACAGTTGCTGTGGACGCAGAAGGAGCCGCAGCAGCAGCGGCGTTGGCGGCGGCGGACGGGGCGATCCGCGGACCGGAAGCGACGGCGGAGGGTCCTGATTTCACGACCCGCGCCCGCTGTGACCGGAAGTCGCGGCGGCTGCGCTTCGATCTGTAGCTTTCACCGCGGGCCGAGCGCAGCGTCCGCATCCGGGCTTTCTCCTCGCCGGAAGCGGAACCGGGGGACCCGATTTCACGCACGCTGTGACCGGAAGTCGCGGCGGCTGGGAATCGGGTCTGCAGTTTACACCGCGGGTGAGGAGCGCAGCGTCCGGATCCGAGCTTTCTCCTCGCCGGAAGCGGAACCGGGGGACCCGATTTCACGCCCGGGGTGACCGGAAGTCGCGGCGTCCGCGCTTAATCAAGAACGGAGACCGGGAGCGCGGCAGCACCGGGGGGTGGGGGCGGGGGGGCGGGGCCGGAAGCGGAACCGGGGGTCCCGATTTCACGCGCGGCGAGACCGGAAGTCGCGGGCTAAGGGCGTGGGCGGGGGAGCGGGTGGTGGGGGCGGGGCCTGAGGGAGTGAGGGGTGAGGGGCGGGGCCTGAGGGAGTGGAGGAGTGAGGGGCGGGGCCTGAGGGAGTGAGGGAGTGAGGGGCGGGGCCTGAGGGAGGAGGGGTGAGGGGCGGGGCCTGGGGAGTGAGGAGTGAGGGGGGGGCCTGAGGGAGTGAGGGAGTGAGGGGCGGGGCCTGAGGGAGTGAGGAGTGAGGGGCGGGGCCTGAGGGAGTGAGGGAGTGAGGGGCGGGGCCTGAGGGAGTGAGGAGTGAGGGGCGGGGCCTGAGGGAGTGAGGAGTGAGGGGCGGGGCCTGAGGGAGTGAGGGAGTGAGGGGCGGGGCCTGAGGGAGTGAGGAGTGAGGGGCGGGGCCTGAGGGAGTGAGGAGTGAGGGGCGGGGCCTGAGGGAGTGAGGGAGTGAGGGGCGGGGCCTGAGGGAGTGAGGGGCGGGGCCTGAGGGAGTGAGGGAGTGAGGGGCGGGGCCTGAGGGAGTGAGGGGTGAGGGAGGGAGTGAGGGGCGGGGCCTGAGGGAGTGAGGGAGGAGTGAGGGGCGGGGGCCTGAGGGAGTGAGGAGTGAGGGGCGGGGCCTGAGGGAGTGAGGAGTGAGGGGCGGGGCCTGAGGGAGTGAGGAGGGAGTGGGGGCGGGGCCTGAGGGAGTGAGGAGTGAGGGGCGGGGCCTGAGGGAGTGAGGAGTGAGGGGCGGGGCCTGAGGGAGTGAGGGGCGGGGCCTGAGGGAGTGAGGAGTGAGGGGGCGGGGCCTGAGGGAGTGAGGAGTGAGGGGCGGGGCCTGAGGGAGTGAGGGTGAGGGGCGGGGCCTGAGGGAGTGAGGGAGTGAGGGGGCGGGGCCTGAGGGAGTGAGGGAGTGAGGGGCGGGGCCTGGGGGAGTGAGGGAGTGAGGAGTGAGGGGCGGGGCCTGAGGGAGTGAGGAGTGAGGGGCGGGGCCTGAGGGAGTGAGGAGTGAGGGGCGGGGCCTGAGGGAGTGAGGAGTGAGGGGCGGGGCCTGAGGGAGTGAGGAGTGAGGGGCGGGGCCTGAGGAGGAGGGGCGGGGCCTGAGGGAGTGAGGGAGTGAGGGGCGGGGCCTGAGGGAGTGAGGAGGGGGGGGGGGGAGTGAGGGGCGGGGCCTGAGGGAGTGAGGGAGTGAGGGGCGGGGCCTGAGGGAGTGAGGAGTGAGGGGCGGGGCCTGAGGGAGTGAGGAGTGGGGGGGGCCTGAGGGAGTGAGGAGTGAGGGGCGGGGCCTGAGGGAGTGAGGGGCGGGGCCTGAGGGAGTGAGGAGTGAGGGGCGGGGCCTGAGGGAGTGAGGAGTGAGGGGCGGGGCCTGAGGGAGTGAGGGGCGGGGCCTGAGGGGGTGAGGAGTGAGGGGCGGGGCCTGAGGGAGTGAGGGCTGAGGAGTGAGGGGCGGGGCCTGAGGGAGTGAGGAGTGAGGGGGGGGCCTGAGGGAGTGAGGGAGTGAGGGGCGGGGCCTGAGGGAGTGAGGAGTGAGGGGGGGCGGGGGGCCTGAGGGGGGAGTGAGGGAGTGAGGAGGGGCGGGGCCTGAGGGAGTGAGGAGTGAGGGGCGGGGCCTGAGGGAGTGAGGGGTGAGGGGGGGGCCTGAGGGAGTGAGGGGCGGGGCCTGAGGGAGTGAGGAGTGAGGGGCGGGGCCTGAGGGAGTGAGGGGGGGGGGCCTGAGGGAGTGAGGAGTGAGGGGCGGGGCCTGAGGGAGTGAGGGGCGGGGCTGAGGGGAGTGAGGGGGGGCCTGAGGGAGTGAGGAGTGAGGGGGCGGGGCCTGAGGGAGTGAGGGGGCGGGGCCTGAGGGAGTGAGGGGGCGGGGCCTGAGGGAGTGAGGAGTGAGGGGCGGGGCCTGAGGGAGTGAGGAGTGAGGGGCGGGGCCTGCGGGCGGAACCGGAAGTTGCGCTCTAAACCGGAAGTGGCCCCTTTTAAACCGGAAGTGACGCTCCTCCCCGCCCCGCAGGCCCCGCCCCGGCCCGCCCCGCCCCGCCCGGCCATGGCGTCGGCCGCCACCATCGTGCACGACCCCTCGGAGGCGACGCCGCTGTGCCCGGCGCTGGGCCTGTACCTGAAGCCGATCACGAAGCTGGCGATCTGCGTGGCGCTGCCGCCGCCGCTGCGCGCGCCCGGCAAGTCCGTGTCCAACTGGGAGGTGATGGAGCGGCTGCGCGCGATGGCGGCCGGCGCGGCGGCGGCGTCACTTCCGGGTCCACTTCCGGGTCCGCTTCCGGGTTCACTTCCGGTTCCGGCGGAGGCGGAGTCCGCGGGGCGCGGGCCGCTGTCGGCGCTGCGCATCGCCAAGAGCTCGCTGGACTTCGTGCGCTTCGAGGCGGAGGTGGAGAACCGCGCGCTGGTGCGGCCGCTGCTCGCCCGCCTGGACGGCGGCGCCATCAGGCTGGGCGGCTTCCCGACGCGCTGCGCGTGCGCGCCGCCGAGTTCCGCCCCGACTTCCCGTCCCGCCACGACTGGGACGCCTTCTTCCGCGACGCACGCGACATGGACGAGGCGCTGCCCGGCGAGCGCCCCGACACCATCCGCCTCGAGGGGCTGCCCTGCCGCTGGTTCGCGCCGCGGCCCGGGGACGCGCCCGGTGCCACTTCCGGTTCCACTTCCGGTTCCACTTCCGCTTCCGGTCCTACTTCCGGTTCCGCGAGCGACCGGCCCAGCGAGGCGCTGCTGCGTCAGGCGTTCGGCGCGTTCGGCGCCATCCGGCACGTGGACATCCCCATGCTCGACCCGTACCGCGGCGAGGCGGCGGGGCGCGGCTTCCACACGTTCGGGCTGGGCGGGCAGCTGCACTTCGAGGCCTTCGTGCAGTACCGCGAGTACGCGGGGTTCGCGCGCGCCATGGCGGCGCTGCGGGGCACGAAGCTCATGCTCAAGGGCGAGGACGGCAAGGCGGTGGCGTGCGGCATCAAGGTGCGCGGGGACCGGAAGTGGACCCGGAAATGAACCCGGAAGTGGGCGTGGCGGGAGCGGAAGTGGCGGAAACGGAACCGGAAGTGGGACCGGAAGTGGCGGAACCGGAAGTGGGACCGGAAGTGACGGAACCGGAAGTGGGCGTGGCTGACGTGTTTTTTTTCCTCCCGGCCCCGCCCCGCCCCGCAGGTCTCGTTCGACGCCACCAAGCACCTGAGCGACGCCTCGATCCGGCGGCGGCAGCTGGAGCGGCAGAAGCTGCGGGAGCTGGAGCTGCAGCGCGAGGAGCAGAAGCGGCGCGAGCGCGAGGACGAGGAGCGGAGGCGCCTGGAGGAGCGGTGGGCTGGGCCCGGGCGGGACGGGGCGGGGCCCGGGCGGAGCGGGGCGGATTGCATATTCATGAGGGGCTGGGGCTGCGCTCATTTGCATATTCATTAACGGGGACTGGCGAATCTGCATAGCGAAAGACGGGGTTCGCTCATTTGCATATGAATGAGCGGGGATTTGCATATTCATGAGCTACAATGAATGAGTTGCGACCTGAAGCGAGCTAATTTGCATATGAGACGCTTGCGATTTGCATATTAATGAGCAGGGATCGCAGGTCTGGGCTGTGGTGATTTGCATATTCACAATCCCCCGGGCTACTGATTTGCATATTCATCAAAGCGAGCCCGCTAATCTGCATACGAGAGAGCTGGAATCGGTTAATTTGCATACGGGCCGGCTTGTTTTGGTTAGTTTGCATATGAAGGCGTCGTGTGTGCTGCTCATTTGCATACCGAGGTTGCTTGGTCTCCAAGGCGAATTTGCATGCGAACCGTAGCTCCGGCCTGATATGCAAATTCCCTTACCCCTCCCTGATTTGCATGCGGAGTGGACGGCAATAACTGCGCTAATTTGCATACTGACTTTGCTGATTTGCATACAGGGCCTGGCCCACGCTCGTAACTGACGCGTGTTGTTCAGTTCTTATTTGCATAACTGCTCTGATTTGCATATTCACGAGCCCACGAGGCGCTGGCTGATTTGCATATCCGCACTGATCTGCATACTAATGAGTCAGGACCGTCACCCTCATTTGCATGTTAATGAGGCGCGATTTGCATGTCTGTCACGTTTGCTCATCTGCATGTTCGCCCGGGGAATTTGCATAAGAGCCGGCTTCGCTCCTATTTGCATATTCAAGAACCCTGGCCGGCGCTCATTTGCGTATTCACGAGTCCGACATCGTGCTGATTTGCATATCCGGAGCTGATTTACATAAGAGCCGGCTCGGGTCTGGCTTGTGTGAAGTGATTTGCATATTTATTAGGATGTAGCGGTCTAATCTGCATATTAACACGGATGCAATTTGCATAATTAGCGGTTTCTGCCCAATATGCAAATCTGCATGGTAGCGAGCTGGGCTTCGTTAATTTGCATGTGAAGTCATCGGGGCTCATTTGCATGCAGAGCAGACTGCCCTGGGCTCATTTGCGTATTCCGCTGAGCTGATTTGCATATCCCACGCATTTGCATATTCGTATCCCCCAGTGCTCACTTGCTTTGCATATTAATGAGCGGTCACGCCCCGATTTGCATACGCAGCAGTGAACTCGTCTCTGATTTGCATGTGGGCGGCCCGGAAGGCGCCTAATTTGCATAACTCCAGAGGTTTTGGCCCCTGATTCGCACATGCACCACTCAATTTGCATAGCCATGGGCTCTGGTTTGCATATTAACGTCCTCATTTGCATACACGGAGACCGAATCCTCTCTTATTTGCATATCAGTCGCCTAATTTGCATAACTCCAAAGTGCGGGATCAGCAAATCACCAATTTGCATATTCATGATTCCGCTTTGCATATTAACGTCCTCATTTGCATACGCGGAGGCCGAATCCTCTCTTATTTGCATATCGGCCGCCTAATTTGCATACCCGAATGCTTCTGTGCTCGGTTTGCACGCGAGCCCTGCTCATTTGCATAAACCCGCCTCCCCCTCATCTGCATACGCCCTCATCTGCATATCCCCGCCCCCCAGGAAGCAGCGCGAGGCGGAGGCCCAGGAGCGCGCGCGGCGCCGGGAGCAGAAGCAGCGGCGCCGGGAGCAGCGGCAGCGCGAGCGCGAGCAGCGTCGGCGCCGCCGCCGGGCGGAGCGCGGCGGGCGTGGCGCCCGCGCTGCCCCGCCCACCGGCGGAAGCGGGGGCGGAACCGGAAGCAGCGGAAGCGGAAGCGGCGGGTGCGGATGCGCGGCGGCGCCTGCTGCTGGCCCAGCGCGACCTGCAGAGCGTGCGGCTGGTGGCGGCGCTGCTGGGCCGCGTGGAGGTGGGCGGGGCCGGGAGCCGGGGGTGGGCGTGGTCGGGGGTGGGCGGGGCCGGGGCGGGCGTGCCTGACCCCGTGACCCCGCCCCTCCCGCCCCCGCAGGCCTCGCGCCTGCGCCAGCGGCGCCTGCAGGAGGCGGAGCTGCGCCGCGTGGAGCAGGAGAAGCGCCGGGCGCTGGGGCTGCAGCGCCGCGAGCGCGAGCTGAGGCAGAGGCTGCTGGCGCTGCTGCTCGGCCGCGGGGGCGCCCGGCCCGGCGCGCAGGGGCCCGGAAGCGGAGCGGAAGCGCGGAGGCCGGAAGCGGAACCGGAAGTGGAGCCGGAAGCGGAAGCGGCGCCGACCTCCTGCGCCCCGTGCTCGACATCCTGCACAGCGTCGCCGCCCGCGCCGCCGACCCCGACCCCGACCCCGACCCCGCCCCGGCGGAGGAAGCGGAAGGGGCGGGGCAGCAGCAGCGGCGTCGGCACCGGGGCGGGGCGGGGCGCGAGCGCAGGCGCAGCAGACACCGGCGGGACGGACGCGCTCGCTCCCGGTCGCCCCCGCGCTCGCCCCGGGCAAATAAATAAAGGAAGCGAGGAATGAATGAATGAATGAGTGAGTGCGCATGGTCGATTCGCGTCGGTCGTTCATTATTCACTCATTCGTTCGTTCGCCGCCTTAGTCTCTCACTCATTCGTTCATCCACTCCGTCATTTATTCATTCATTCATTCACTCACTCATTCACTCATTCGTTCCCTCAGCCAGCCCCTCACTCACCCCTTCAGTCAGTCACTCATTCGTTCGCCCCAGTCATCCCCCCGCCGCGCCCGTCGTTCACTCATTCGCTCGCTCATTCCTTCATTCATTCCTTCATTCATTCATTCATTCGCCCCCTGACGCCAGCCCCGACCCCGTTTCTTCCCCCACTCCCCCCCCCCGCCCGCCCCGCGCTGCCGTCATCCGGGCCCGGGTTAATCCCGGATCAGCCTGGAGGCCGCGCGCGTCACTCGGGGCGGGGCCGGGCGGATTTAAACCCCGGGGGTCGGGGCGGGGCGGGGTCGCCGGGCGCCATGGCGGACGCGGACCTGGACGGGGACTTCCGGCTGCTGACGGGGCTGGCGCAGGGCTTCATGGTGTCGCGGGTGGGCGGGGCGGGCGGGGCGCGACCCCTGTGTGACCCCCTGTGACCCCCGTGTGACCCCCGCGACCCCCGTGTGACCCCGCGACCCCCGTGTGACCCCTGTGTGACCCCGCGACCCCTGCGTGACCCTGGCGACCCCCGTGTGACCCCTGACCCTGGTGACCCCCGTGTGACCCCCCCGACCCTGTGTGACCCCGCTTGACCCCCGCCCCGTTGACCCCCCGTGTCCCCGTTTGACCCCCGTGACCCCGTTTGACCCCGCGACCCCCGTGTGACCCCCGTGTGACCCCGGCGACCCCTGTGTGACCCCGCGACCCCGCCCCGACCCTGTGACCCCCGTGTGACCCCGCCCTGACCCCCGCGACCCCGCGCTGACCCCGTGCGACCCCCGCCCCCGCCCCCGCAGGTCCTGTTCGCCGCCTGCGAGCTGGGCGTGTTCGACGCCCTGGACCCCGCCCCGCTGAGCGCGCGCGACGTCGCCTCCCGCCTGGGGCTCAGCGCGCGGGGGCGGGGCCGCTGCTGGACGCCTGCGCCGCCCCTGGGGCTGCTGCTGCGGCGGCGGCGGCGGCGGGCGGGGCCGGGCGGGGGCGGAAGGTGCGCGGGGGGGGGGACCCGGAAGCGGAAGCGGGCGGGGGAGGCGGAAGCGGAAGCGGGCGGGGCCGGCCGCCATGAATGAACGACCCCGCCCCGCCCCGCAGGCCCCGCCTACGCCCTGGCCCCCCGCCGCCCGCCGCCTCCCTCGTCGCCCGCAGCCCCCAGGCCCAGCGCTCGACGCTGCGCTACCTGGCGGGGACCACGTGGGCCGTGTGGGGGCGGCTGGGCGGGGCCGTGAGGTGAGGGCGGGGCGGGTCGGGGCGGTCATTCATTCGTTCATTCATTCATTCGTTCGTTCATTCATTCATTCATCAGTTTATTCATTCATTCGTTCATTCATTCATTCGTTCATTCATTCATCCGTTTGTTCATTCGTTCGTTCACTCGTGTGTTCATTCATTCATTCATCCATTTGTTCATTCGTTCATTCATCCGTTCATTCATTCATTCATCCGTTTGTTCATTCATTCGTTCACTCGTGTGTTCATTCATTCATTCATTCATCAGTTTATTCATTCATTCGTTCACTCGTGTGTTCATTCATTCACTCATCCATTTGTTCATTCGTTCACTCGTGTGTTCATTCATTCATTCATTCATCCGTTTGCTCATTCGTTCGTTCATTCATTGATTCGTTCCTTTTGATCATTCATTCGTTCGTTCGTTCGTGCGTTCATTTGTTCGTCCATTCATCCGTTTATTCATCTCTTCGTTTCACTCATTCGTTCCTTCATCTGTTCCTTCCTTCGTTCGTTCATTCGGATCCGCCCGCCGCGCCCCAGGGAGGGGCGGAACCAGTACCCGCAGGCGCTGGGCGTGGCCACGCGGGAGCCGTTCGAGGCGATCTACAGGTGAGCGCGGGGCAGGGCAGGGCGGGGGTCAGTAATGCATTCATTAATTCACTCACTCGTTAATTCACTCGCTAATCCATTAATTCATTGACTCACTCGTCCATTCAGTAATTCATTGCTTCCCTGATTCACTCACTAACCCATTCATTCATTCATTCATTCATTCATTCACCCAGTAACCCAGCCATTCATTGCTTCGCTGATTCACCGATTCATTCCTTCACTAATTCATTCCCTTTCTCCGAATCACTCACTCACCCACCCCCCCGCCCCCCCCCGCCCCGCCCAGGTCGCCCGCCGAGCGCCTCCTCTTCCTCCGCGCGCTGCAGGAGACCTGGGCCGCCTGGGGCGACCGCGTCCTCACGGCCTTCGACCTCGAGGGATTCGGGGCCGTGTGCGACGTCGGGGGTCGGTGCTGCGGGGCGGGGCGGGGCGGGGCCGGGTGACCCCTGACCCCGCCCTCCGTGACCCCGCCCGACCCCTGACCCCGCCCCCCAGGCGGATCCGGAGCCCTGGCCGCCGCCTTCGCCCGGCTCCACCCCGGCAGCCGCGTCTCGGTGTTCGAGACCCCGGAGGTCGTGGCCGACGCCCGCGCGCACTTCCGGGCCCCGCGCGTGCGCTTCGTGGGAGGTCGGTGCGGGGCGGGCGGGGCCTTCACTCGTTCACCCGGTCACTCATTCATTCATTCATTCATTCACACGGCGATCCCCGCCCGGACCCCGCAGGCGACTTCTTCCGCTCGCCGCTGCCGCCCGCCGACCTCTACGTCCTGGCGCGGGTGCTGCACGACTGGCCGGACGAGGCCTGCGCGGAGCTGCTGGGACGCACGCGCGGCGGTGACGGGCGGGGCCCGGGGAGGGGACGGGCGGGGGTCACTGCTTCCTGTGTGCATTTGGGGTCACTTCCCACTCACTTCCTGTCTACTTCCCGCCCACTTCCCGTTCACTTCCCATTCACTTCCTGCTCACTTCCTGCTCACTTCCTATCTACTTCCTGTTCACTTCCAGCTTACTTGCTGTTTACTTCCTGTTCACTTCCTGGTCACTTCCTGTTTCCTTCCTGCCCACTTCCCGCTTGATTCCCGCTCACTCCCCCTCACTTCCCATTCACTTCCTGCTCACTTCCTATCTACTTCCTGTTCACTTCCAGCTCATTTCCTGTTTATTTCCTGTTCATTTCTCAGTCACTTCCTGTTTCCTTCCCGCCCACTTCCCGCTCGTTTCCCCCTCACTTCCTGTTCACTTTCCGCTCACTTCCCGCTCACTTCCTGTCCACTTCCCGTCCACTTCCTGTCACTTCCTTCCACTTCCCGCCCGCTCCCGGCTCACTTCCTGCCCGCCTCCCGCCCCGCAGGCTCCGCCCTGCTCATCGTGGAGGCCGTGCTGGACCGCGGAGGGCGGGGCCCGCTGCCGGCGCTGCTGCTGTCGCTGAACATGCTGGCGCAGGCGGCGGGGCGCGAGCGCACGGAGGCCGAGTTCCGGGCTCTGACCCGCGCCGCCGGCTTCCGCCGCTTCCGCCTGCGCCGCCCCGGCGGCCCCTACGCCGTCATGCTGGCCCGGAAGTGACGCCGCGCGTGGGGGGGCGGGGCCGAGGGCGCGGGTGAATAAAGTCGGGGCGAAACTACATTTCCCGTGAGTCCCTGCGACACCCACTTCCGGGAAAACGCTGCATTTCCTGACGTTATCGAAAGGGTTGGACTACATTTCCCATGATTCCCCCGGGGCGGCACTTCCGGGAAAACGCGGCACTTCCTGTCACAGAGACACGTGGGGCCTACATTTCCCATGAGTCCGTGGGGGCACACATAGGACCGGTTCCCGAAAACTACAACACTTCCTGTCTCAGTGACATGAGCGGACTGCATTTCCCATGAGTCCACGCGGCATTGCCGGTGAGGTAACACATGCGCAGTTCTGGAAAAACGCAGCGCTTCCTCTCGCTGTGATAGTCGGGGACTACATTTCCCATGATTCCCTGCGACCCCACAGGACCGGTTCCTGTAAAACACGGAACTTCCTGTCTCAGTGACTGGTGTGGACTACATTTCCCGAAAAGCCCTGCGACACCTAAGGACCGCTTCCGGTAAAACACGGAACTTCCTGTCTCAGTGACTGGTGTGGACTACATTTCCCAAAAATCCCTGCGACACGCATAGGGCCAGATCTGGTGAAACACTTCCTGCCGCAGTGACACGTGGGGACTACATTTCCCATGAGTCCCTGCGACAGGCATAGGACCGGTTCCTGAAAAGCACAGCACTTCCTCTCGCTATAAACACGGTAATAATTATGGCGGACTACATTTCCCATGACTCCACGCCACACATACAGGACCGGTTCCGGTAAAACACGGCACTTCCTCTCACTATGAGAGTCGGGGACTACATTTCCCATGAGTCCCTGCGACCCTGCAGGACCGGTTCCTGTAAAACGCGGCCCTTCCCGCCTCACTGACAGGAGAGGACTACATTTCCCATGAGTCCCTGCGGGGCATGCAGAGGCTTCACACACGGCCACTGGAGTGAACTACATTTCCCATGATGCCCTGTTCTTCGTTTAAAGCACCGCAGCGGGGAGAACGTGTGGCCCGCGTCGCCCAGTCACTGAAACCGCGGGGGTTGACGGGATCCCGGGGGCAAATGTGGGGACGCGAGGACCCCGTTGCCCGTGGGCCAAGAGCGCACAGGTCCGGTCCGCTCAAACCGGGTGTTCCTGCAGCCACTTCCGGTCCCGTGACTCGCGATTTGCCACAACAAAGATGGCGGCGTCGCCACTTCCGGTCCTGGCAAACGCGGATATCAGCGCCGTGGAGCGGAACGTGCGGATTCTTCCGCCGTGGGGGCGACTTCCGGGAGCCGCAGGGGCCGATAGCCACGGCAGGAAACGACGCGGAGCCCCTGAGGCCGGCAGGGAAGCCACTTCCGGTCCCGGCCCTCATCAAACATGGCGGGTGCTGCACTTCCTGTGCCGGGAAATGGTGCAACGGCGAATGAGGTCCCTCCCACTCCCGCCCAGGACACGCGACGCGGACGCCCGGCCTCAAAAATATCGCTTCTGTTTATTCATCCCCGGCCCCGCCCCCTCCTCAGCCACGCCCACTGCGGCGGGGACCGGGAAAATAATAAATAAAATAATAATAATGACGACGATGGCGGCGGGCGGTGACGTCATTCCCGGGCGGGGGCGGGGGCTGGCGATGGCGGCGGTGACGTCATTCTCGGTGTGGGGCGGGGCCGGCGATGGCGGATGTGACGTCACGGGGCCCGGCTGGGGTCACGCGGGGCGGGCGGCTTCCATCATGGGTCGCCGGGGGTCACGGGGCGGGGCTGTGGGCGATTTGCATGTTAATTAGCATATCGATCCCCGCCCCGCTCGCATTTGCATGCGATTTGCATACCGACCCCGCCAATCTCACGCTGCTGCTGGTGGCTTCGTCTCCGGGGTCACGCAGGGGTCACGGCGTCGCCCTGGGGTCACAGGAAAAGGAAGTCAGAGCCAGGGGCGGTCAGGGTCCTGTGGAGGTCACGCCAGGGTCAGCGGCCGGGGATAATTTGCATATTAATGAGGCAGAGGTCTGCATGTTAATGAGCAGGAGGGTTAATTTGCATATTAATAAAAAGATTATCGCATACTAATTAGGGCCAATTTGCATATTAATGAAGCAGCTGCTTTCGTGTCAATGAACACGAGGTTAATTTGCATATTAATGAATATATTCGCCTCGATAACTAGGCCTAATTTGCATACCAACAATGAGAACTCTGCATGCTGATGAGCGCCCATGGCTAATTTGCATATCAATGATCTAGAGGTTTGCATGTTAATGAGCAGGAGGGTTTATTTGCATATTAATAAAACGAATATCGCATAGTAATTAGGGCCACTTTGCATATTAATGAAGCAGCTCATTTCCAGTAGATAATTTGCATATTAATGAATCCATGTGCATTGATAATGAGGCCTAATTTGCATACCGACAATCAGATCTCTGCATGCTGATGAGCTCCTGTGGCTAATTTGCATATTAATGAAATAGAGGTTTGCATGAGCAGGAGGTTAATTTGCATCGATAACGAGGCCTAATTTGCATATTGATAACCAGATCACCGCATGTTGATGAGCGCCTATGGCTGATTTGCATATTAATGAACTGGCTGCTTGCGCGCCCATGAGTACCTGGATAATTTGCATATTAACGAATCTATTTGCATTGATAATGAGGCCTAATTTGCATATTAACAACGAGAACTCTGCATGCTGATGAGCGCCTGTGACTAATTTGCATATTAATGATCTAGAGGTTTGCATGTTAACGAGCAGGAGGGTTAATTTGCATATTGATGATATTTGCATCGATAATGAGGCCTGATTTGCATATCGACAACCAGAACTCTGCATGCTGACGAGCGCCCATGGCTAATTTGCATATTAACGACCCGGCTGCTTTCGCGCCAATGAGCAGGAGGTTAATTTGCATATTGATGAATCTCTGCATCATTAATGACGCTAATTTGCATATCGATGAGCGCCATCGACGCTAATGGCGACAGCGGCTGGTTTGCGTAGGAGAGAATTTGCATACCGACCCGGGGTCAATCTGAGGTCACGCCGGGGTCACTCCGGGGTCACGGTGACCTCATGCTCGCACGCACGGCTCATTTGCATATTAATGACCCGGGCGCTCATTTGCATGCTCACCCGCTCTGCACCCTGCGGGGCTCCCGCTCGCTTCTCCAGCCCCGGGGTCACTCTGGGGTCACCCTGAGGTCACGCTGAGGTCACGCACGCACGCACGCGCTTATCTGCATGTCGATGACCGTGCAATCATTAATTCGCACCCTCGCTCACCCGATCCGCACCCTGCGTGGCTCCAGCTCGCTTCTCCCTCCCCGGGGTCACTCTGGGGTCACTCTGGGGTCACGCTGAGGTCACCCTGAGGTCACGCACGCACACGCTCATCTGCACGCATGTCAGTGACCCCCGTGCAATCATTAATTCGCTCCCTCGCTCACCCGCTCCGCTCGCTGCCCCCGCCCCGGGGTCACGCGGGGGTCACCCCGGGGTCGCCGGGGGTCAGAGGCCGTGGTCGCAGTCCACGTCGCGGCAGATGTACCACAGGATGACGTAGAGGATGAGCAGGATCGCGAAGATGAAGAGCGCGACCAGCACGGCCTTCGTCACGGGCGACACCAGCGCCTGCATCGCCACGCCCACCGCGCCGGCCACGCCCACCGCGCCGGCCACGCCCACCGCGCCGGCCACGCCCACCGCGCCGGCCACGCCCACCGCGGCGACCCCGGCCGAGCAGCAGCAGCAGCCGCAGCAGCGGCAGCAGCCGGGAGGGCGGGGCGAGGCGGGGCGGGCGGGGGAAGTCAGGGCGGGACTTCCTGTCGGGGTGTCGGAGCGCGCGCGAAATAACGCGCGGGGCGGGGAGATGCGCAGACGCGAGGAAACGGAAAGCGGAAGTCAGGGCGGGACTTCCTGTCGGGGTCAGTCACGGAGCGCGCGCGAAATAACGCGCGGGGCGGGGAGATGCGCAGACGCGAGGAAACCGAAAGCGGAAGTCAGGGCGGGACTTCCTGTCCGTCATTCACGGAGTGCGCGAAATAACGCGCGGAGCGGGGAGATGCGCAGACGCGAGGAAACCGAAAGCGGAAGTCAGGGCGGGACTTCCTGTGCGTCATTCACGGAGTGCGCGAAATAACGCGCGGGGCGGGGAGATGCGCAGACGCGAGGAAACGGAAAGCGGAAGTCAGGGCGGGACTTCCTGTCGGTCAGTCACGGAGGGCGCGAAATAACGCGCGGGGCGGGGAGATGCGCAGACGCGAGGAAACGGAAAGCGGAAGTCAGGGCGGGACTTCCTGTCGGTCAGTCTCGGAGGGCGCGAAATAACGCGCGGGGCTGGGAGATGCGCAGACGCGAGGAAACCGAAAGCGGAAGTGAGGGCGGGACTTCCTGTCCGTCAGTCACGGAGGGCGCGAAATAACAGGCGGGGCCGGCGACTGCGCAGACGCAAGGAAACTGAAGGCGGAAGTCAGGGCGGGACTTCCTGTGGGTCAGTCACGGAGGGCACGAAATAACGCGCGGGGCGGGGAGATGCGCAGACGCAAGGAGACGGAAGGCGGAAGTCAGGGCGGGACTTCCTGTCTATCAGTCACGGAGGGCGCGAAATAACGGGCGGGGCGGGGAGATGCGCAGACGCAAGGAGACGGAAAGCGGAAGTGAGGGCGGGACTTCCTGTCGGCCAGTCACGGGGGCGCGAAATAACGCACTGGGCCGGTGACTGCGCAGACACGTAAAAAAAAAACCGGAAAACGGAAGTCAGGGCGGGACTTCCTGTCTATCAGTCACGGAGGGCGCGAAATAACGGGCGGGGCCGGCAATCGCGCAGATGCAAGAAAACGGAGAAAACGGAAGTGAGGGTGGGACTTTCTGTCTTTCAGTCTCGGAGTGCGCGAAATAACACACGGGGCCGCGGAAAAAAAGCGGAAGTGAGGGCGGGACTTCCCGTCTGTGACGCGAGAGTTCCTGTACTAAATAACGCACTGGGCCTCCAACCGGCAGACGGGAAGGGAACGGGAGAGCGGAAGCGAGGGCGGGACTCCGTCAGTGTCCGGGGGCCCGGCTGTGGATCCGCGCGAAGAATATCGCGCACAGCCGCGGTCCACACGCAGGGACGGTAAACCGGAAGTGAGGGCGGGACTCCTGTCATTTCTCTGAGGCTCCGGCTGTCGATCTGGGCGAAAAATAAAGCGCAGTCCCGCGGCGCAGACTCAGGGTTCGGGGATAACGGAAGTCCGGGGGAGGGACTTCCTGTCCGTTACCCCGGATCCGGCTGTCACTCAATCCGTGCGTGAAATAACGCACCGAGCCCGCGGCCGCGTAGACGCTGGAAAAAAAAAAAAACCGTGAATAGCGGAAGAGAGGGGCGGGACTTCCTGCCCGTTCCCCTTGGCTCACGGCTGTCCGTCAAACGCGGGCTGGAGCGGAAGCGCGAGGGCGGGACTTCCTTCTTGTGTGCTGTATGTCGCTCCGCCGGTCGGTGCGACCGAGAAATAAGTCGCGGGGGGCGGAGCTTCCTGCGCGCGCATGCGCGTTGGGTTTTTCTGTCTCTCAACAACATTAATAATAATAATAATAATAACGACGACGGCCGGGAACGGGAGGAAAGGATAATAATAATAATAACGACGACCAACAATAATAATAACAACAATAACAATAACGCAGTCCTCGTCTGTGTAAATAATAATAATAACAATAACAATAACAATAATAATAATAACAACAATAATAACAATAATTAATAATAATAATAACAACAATAACGCAGCATGAATAACAGTAAAAATAACAATAATAACAATAATAACAATAACAACAATAATAATAACAATAATAACAACAACAATAACGCAGTCCTCGTCTGTATAAAAAATAACAGTAACAATAACAACAACAACAAAAACAATAACAACAAAAATAATAACAACACGGTCCATTTCTGCATAAACAACAACAACGGTAATAATAACAATAACAATAGTAACAATTACAAAAATAACAATAACAATAATAACAATAATAACAATAACGCATGTCCTTGTCTGTGTAAATAACAATAACAATAACAATAACAGTAATAGTAATACAGTCCTGGGTATAAATAATAACACAAAAAAAAAAAAAAAAAAAAAAAAAAAAAAAAACAATAACAACAATAATAATAACAGTAATAATGACAATAATAATAATAACAAGGTCTATTTCTACATAAACAACAACAACAACAGTAATAACAACAATGATAATAGTAACAGTAAAAACGATAACAGTATTAACAATAAAAAAAACAAACAAAATAACAATAACAACAACAACAATAACAATAATAACAACAATTAATAATAATAACAATAAGAATAGCAATAACAGTAACAATAACAATAACGACATCAGTAACAACAATAATAACAATAATTAATAACAGTAACAACAATACAAAAAAAAAAAAAAAAAAAAAAAAAAAAAAAAAAAAAAAAAAAAAAAAAAAAAAAAAAAAAAAACAGTAACAAAAATTAATAAAAATAATAATAGGAATAACAATAATAGTGACAATAATAATAATAACAGGGTGTATTTCTACTTAAACACCAACAACAGTAATAACTACAATAATAATCATAACAGTTACAACAATAATAACAATAACAATAGTTAATAATAACAATAACAATAATTACAACAAAAATAACAATAAAACAATAACAAAAATTAATAAAAAAAAATAATAGGAAAAACAATAACAATAATAATAAAGATAATTAATGATAATAATAATAATAACAATAATAACAATATCCATAGCAACAATAATAAAAATAATTAATAATAATAACAATAATAACAACAATAATAATAATAATAATAGTGTCACACTCACACTCACACTCTCTCCCGTCACTCACACTCACACTCACACTCTCTCCCGTCACTCACACTCACACTCACACTCACACTCTCTCCCGTCACTCACACTCTCTCCCGTCACTCACACTCTCTCCCGTCACTCACACTCACACTCTCTCCCGTCACTCACACTCACACTCTCTCCCGTCACTCACACTCTCTCCCGTCACTCACACTCTCTCCCGTCACTCACACTCTCTCCCGTCACTCACACTCACACTCACACTCACACTCACACTCTCTCCCGTCACTCACACTCTCTCCCGTCACTCACACTCTCTCCCGTCACTCACACTCACACTCACACTCTCTCCCGTCACTCACACTCTCTCCCGTCACTCACACTCTCTCCCGCCACTCCACTCACACCCACTCACACTCTCTCCCGTCACACTCACACTCTCTCCCGTCACTCACACTCCCCGTCACTCACACTCACTCACACTCTCTCCCGTCACTCACACTCACACTCACACTCACACTCACACTCACACTCTCTCCCGTCACTCACACTCACACTCACACTCTCTCCCGTCACTCACACTCTCTCCCGTCACTCACACTCACACTCACACTCACACTCTCTCCCGTCACTCACACTCACACTCACACTCTCTCCCGTCACTCACACTCTCTCCCGTCACACACACTCACACTCTCCCGTCACCCCCCTCACTCACACTCTCTCCCGTCACTCACACTCTCTCCCGTCACTCACACTCTCTCCCGTCACTCACACTCTCTCCCGTCACTCACACTCACACTTCTCCACACTCACACTCACACTCTCTCCCGTCACTCACACTCACACTCTCCCGTCACTCACACTCTCTCCCGTCACTCACACTCTCTCCCGTCACTCACACTCACACTCACACTACACTCACACTCACACTCACACTCTCTCCCGTCACTCCCTCTCTCCCGTCACTCACACCACACTCTCTCTCCCGTCACTCACACTCTCTCCCGTCACTCACACTCACACTCACTCTCTCCCGTCACTCACACTCTCTCCCGTCACTCACACTCTCTCCCGTCACTCACACTCTCCTCACACTCTCTCCCGTCACTCACACTCTCTCCCGTCACTCACACTCACACTCACACTCTCTCCGTCACTCACACTCACACCCGTCACTCACACTCTCTCCCGTCACTCACACTCTCCCGCACTCACACTCACACTCACACTCACACTCTCTCCCGTCACTCACACTCTCTCCCGTCACTCACACTCTCTCCCGTCACTCACACTCTCTCCCGTCACTCACACTCACACTCACACTCTCTCCCGTCACTCACACTCTCTCCCGTCACTCACACTCTCCCGTCACTCACACTCACACTCACACTCACACTCACACTCTCTCCCGTCACTCACACTCACACTCACACTCCACACTCTCACTCACACTCTCTCCCGTCACTCACACTACTACACTCTCTCCCGTCACTCACACTCTCTCCCGTCACTCACACTCTCTCCCGTCACTCACTCACTCACACTCACACTCACCCTCACTCTCTCCCGTCACTCACTACACCTCCACTCTCTCCCGTCACTCACACTCACACTCACACTCTCTCCCGTCACTCACACTCTCTCCCGTCACTCACACTCTCTCCCGTCACTCACACTCTCTCCCGTCACTCACACTCACACTCACACTCACACTCTCTCCCGTCACTCACACTCTCTCCCGTCACTCACACTCTCTCCCGTCACTCACACTCACACTCACACTCTCTCCCGTCACTCACACTCTCTCCCGTCACTCACACTCTCTCCCGTCACTCACACTCACACTCACACTCTCTCCCGTCACTCACACTCTCTCCCGTCACTCACACTCTCTCCCGTCACTCACACTCCCCGTCACTCACACTCACTCCCACACTCACACTCACTCTCTCCCGTCACTCACACTCTCTCCCGTCACTCACACTCCCTCCTCCGTCACTCACACTCTCTCCCGTCACTCACACTCACCCCCGTCCCACCACACTCTCTCCCGTCACTCACACTCACACTCTCTCCCGTCACTCACACCTCCCTCTCTCCCGTCACTCACACTCTCTCCCGTCACTCACACTCTCTCCCGTCACTCACACTCTCTCCCGTCACTCACACTCTCTCCCGTCACTCACACTCTCTCCCGTCACCCACCACACTACACTCTCTCCCGCCACTCACACTCTCTCCCTCACCACCACCACACTCTCCCCCACCACACCCCCCGCACTCCCCCCGTCACTCACACTCTCTCCCGTCACTCACACTCACACTCTCTCCCGTCACTCACACTCACACTCTCTCCCGTCACTCACACTCACACTCACACTCACACCTCTCCCGTCACTCAAAACACACTCTCTCCCGTCACTCACACTCTCTCCCGTCACTCACACTCACACTCACACTCTCTCCCGTCACTCACACTCTCTCCCGTCACTCACACTCTCTCCCCCGTCACTCACACTCACACTCACACTCTCTCCCGTCACTCACACTCTCTCCCGTCACTCACACTCTCTCCCGTCACTCACACTCTCTCCCGTCACTCACACTCTCTCCCGTCACTCACACTCTCTCCCGTCACTCACACTCACACTCACACTCTCTCCCGTCACTCACACTCTCTCCCGTCACTCACACTCTCTCCCGTCACTCACTGACTGTCATTGTTATTATTAATATTGTTATTGTTATTATTATTTTTATTGTTGTTATTATTATTATTATTATTGTTATTATTATTGTTAGTTTAATTGTTATTGTTATTGTTGTTATTATTGTTATTATCATTGTTA